TAAATTACCATTGTGTTTATCGGAAAAGTTTATAATAGGCCATGAATCGAGTGGTCAATTTGTGGCTGGCGTTATTTCTATCGAGTTACAAGTTTAAGTCAGGATGCCACTAAATACCTGCCAACTGATGCACGTTTAACTTGTTCAGGGTCAAAGTGCTCCCGTGCTGTGAAAGGTTGTAGAGTGGGGTGCCAGTTTAGGTGCAGTCCTCAGTTGTATGAGGTTCAGAATTACGTCGATCACCAATGACCTCGTACAACTTCTTCAAAGTGCGACGTTAATAAACAATCAATAAATCAGAAAATATATGACATTTTTCCGTACCAAATAACACTTCACTTGATTTTAAAAAAAACAACTACAATGATAAAAGTATAATAAAAATAATTATAATCCTGTAAGTTTCTAGTTGTTTCTGATGCCACCTATTTGACTATATAGTCAAATCGAAGCCCACGGATTTCATCATGACAAGGGGCTAGTTTTACGTCTGCCATTAGCTGCAGATCAGAGCATCATAGAGGTGAAAATACGATTTTGCCCGGTTCCATCACGTTTGAAGAGAACACCATGGGGTTGGTCAGGGGCCTACCATCTCTCTTCCCCTTTCCATCAACCTCACGAGAAGATTTATGACTTGATGAATCTTTAGAGTCCCTCCCCACACCATCCAGCACAATCACTATACATGTACAAACATCCATGCGTTCTCAGGATTCAAACCCAAATCTTACGGCACAACAGGCAGCCTCACTATTCCACTTCGTATTTCCTGAAGTTTTCTAAAGGGGTGCAAGGAGAAAATCTCTCATCGTAGTAAAATGTTAAACTAAAATTTCTCAACCACCGTGCCGTGACACTTTTGCGTGCCACCAAATTTTTTTTTAATTCTTCATTATACTCTAACTTTATATTATTTTCAAATTTAGGTACAAAAAAGATTGATTGGTTTCGTAATCCATTTGTGATAACGGATACATACATGCACATACTTCTGTACAAAAATTAACTTTAAATGAAGAGGAAGAACTAATTTAGCTCTGTAATAATTGAGATTTAATTTTCATACTTTCGGAAGAGTCAATGAATTCATTTTGAATTAAAATTAAAAGCGATTATTCAAAAATAGCAAAAAAAAGTTTTAATAATATTGTTATAATTTTTTACACCTTATTTGGGAGAATTCGGATTTTCAGCATTAACAAACACGTATAAAAATGAAAAAGCGATATTTTTGAAAGTAAGAGGGTGAAATGAAAATGGTATTATTTTTGTTACCAAATAAATAAGAAATTATCAAGACTCATCAAGCTCAAATTTAGAGTTAAATGCATTCTTATAATTAATTTGTAATTAATTACCCAATAAACATTTTGTTGACTTTGTCTTACATATTATTTTATTTAACATCGAAAATTATCATAAACTATTTTTTACAAAGTATATATATTACAGATAAGTAAAATTCTTTTCAACTTTTTTGTTCATTGTTAGTGTGCCGCCAAATTTTGAAATTGTTAAGCGTGTACCGAAACAGGGAAAAGGTTGAGAATCACTGAGTTAAGCATTGCTCTGAATTTGAGAACGATTATGCATAAGAACTATTCCAAAGTATTTCTAAGCATTAAGGTATCCGACTACGTTCGGAACCGTGATTTTTCAAAAACGTATAAATGGATAATATTTATGATATTTAGTGTCACTAAGATTGGAAAATGTATATAAAATTGTTTTAAGAATAGTATTACAATAAAAAATTATTTTAGTACAATATTTTGATAAAAAATGAATAGAATGACCCATTTTCAAAATATTCTTCTTTTGTGAAAAATGGTTCTATTATAATATTTTGCCTGTATATAGCTCAGACCTCTGTACAGAGGCTTAACTAGAATTTTTGAAATATATAAATTAGAAGTGGGTTTATCCGTGTTTTACGACAACAGAGGGAGAAATTTTAAGAAAAAAACGCCGATAATTATTTCAAATGATTGTAACTCTGAAAATAATGTGAAATTTTCAAAAATCATAGTTGAGCCTCTGTACAGAGGTCTGAGCTATATACAGGCAAAATATTATTATAATAGAAGCATTTTTCACGAAAGGAGAACATTTTGAAAAAGGTTATTCTAAGTTAATTTTTAGCCGAAATATTGTATTTAAATAACTTTTTTTTTGTCAAAATGTCCTTAAAACAATTTTATACATGTATTCTAATCTAAGTGACACTAAATATCATGAAAATTATCCATTTATGCGCCTTTTTAAAATCACTGTTCCGAACGTAGTCGGATACCTTAAACAAAGCATAAAAGTCTTTTTGTGTGAGAAAAATGTCTAGAATCAAACTTCAACGATCCGGATTAGGAACATTTATATCCTGAATTATTTCTTCCTCTTTCTGGTTCTTCCCTCTGAATCCCACGATCCTGATACACCGGAAAGAGTAAGTATCTCCCTCTCTTTCCTGCCTCTACGAATAAACTAAGATTTACGGCAGATACAAGAGAGGATATTGATACACTTCCGGCTACGGGAATGCATTTCTGATAGAACATCCGCTTAATATTATAAGATATTACTACAGCTTCAATCTATTAATAGAATCATTTTATATGAGCATGAAGGAACCTGAAAATATTTATTTTGAATAAATTTATTTGATGAAGAAAAGATATGAATTATAATCAAGGGAGAAAATCAATATAAATGTCCTCAAGAGATGAAATCTCCAAAAAAAAAGTGTACTACCTTTTATATATTAAAACCTGTGTCACTTTCAAATAATTAATTCACAGGAATTCAAATCCCTTTTATAAAAATATATCCAAGCTATTTTTCATTGATTGTCAGATTTGATTTACCACACTTAACACTAAATGTGTTATAAAATGTGCAATATGTCTTAGAAACGTTTCGAAATATTTTAGCTCAAAAATATTTTTTCCTTCATGTTTGTAAATAAAATTATAGTTAACAAATGAAAGTTTTTAACACATTTATGTTTTCACATTGTTTCGAATTAGTTTTCTATTTTGTTAAGCTTTTTGTTTTCATTTGAAACGACGCCTCATGCAAGAAAATTAAATTCTCAAGTACAATTGTCATGGCACACTTCAATTTAAAATTTGACGCTTCGGTGTATGTGTGTGTGTGACTCATTCTACTTAAATAATATAATGCAATAATATAGAGCAGTGGTTCTTAAACTTCGGATCACCGCGGTCTCCCCCTTTTATGTATCTGAGTGACACACGCCCCCCCAGATTTTGAACATCCCTTCCCGACTTTATATCCTTGATCAAAATACAAGTTCTAGTAGAGTTTTTTCATTGGGGACAGTTAAGTGATCTAATCTAGTATGGCACATTTTTAAATTTTTCCCCATATCCTTTCAGAGTCTGTAAAAGAGGGAAATCTCAACTGTACATGAGACACACAGAGGACCCCCTAGAAAGGCACTGCGGACCTCAGGGGTCAGCAGACCACAGTTTCAGAACACAGAATATAAAATATATTCATTAGTTTTTATGAAAACCATGAGTAAAAGTGGGATATATGTGATTAAAATAAATTCTTACACATCTTCAAATTATCATACAATTATAAAAATTTCTTTTTTCTTTTTATCAAAACATAATCACTATACTCAAAAATCTGTTGGAAAGACAACGCCCCAAACAATCAATAAATAAAAGATGATTTGTATTACGAAAAAAAAAACTGGTCATCATACAGGAACAAGAAAAAAAAAGCGTTCGAACAAAAACGCCAAGCTTTCAAATTTTTTTTTTCTTCAAATGTTAGGAAAATGTAGGGTCATATTTCCCAAATGTATATTTAGCACTTAAAGCACTCAAAATATTTAGAGCAAAGCTTTTAAAGCCCTACACTCTCTTATGTGCTTACGGAATGTAACACATGCCTAATTTTCTATTTTTGTTAGGATTTGATTTAAACACCAATTATAATACCTGAAATCTTTTAATGTTCTAAATCTTCTTTTAATGTGTTTCTTTAAATTCCTACGTTCATTTTTTTTATCAACTTCCTTCTGACGATTCATCACATATTTACTTCTAACACCAGTAATACGTAACATAACACGTATCGCTGTTCCTTGGGCCAATGGAATTGCGAAACAAAACTTCCTTGGGCCAATGGAATTGCAAAACAAAACTTATTTAATCAGCGTGGGACAAGTGCTAATTCATCTCGTCAAAATCTCAGTACCATAATATGAGACACAGAAATACTAATGATTGATACAGTTACACCTGCCAACTTAACAGAATCATCAACACGTCTTTACCACAACTGCAGACGATTCGTCTCGGAACACAGAATCATTGAGTCGGCTTTACCACAACTGGCGGACGATTCGTCTCATAACGGAAATCCCTAAGCTGTGCGAACAGGCGCGCAACTGATGTGCCACAGATGCTTCGTGTCAGGGGCATCAAAGGTGCTGTCACTCTCCAAGAAGGGGATGCTCAGCGCGAGAGGACACATGTCAGAGAGGAATGAATAGAGATGGAAATATTTAAGAAGGTTCAAGAGGGTTTCGCCAAAGAGTATAAATATAGCTTACCATACCCACAGTTCAAGTTCAAACGCGTGCAGTTTTTTACATACCTGTCTTTTAATTCTGCATACGTTTTACTAGGGAAAATAAAAATTAACGATTTAATTTTTCATGCAACATTTATTGAAACAAGTAATATAAAAAAAAATTGAGTCAATTCCTACTCTGGTTAACAAAGAGAAATTTTATTTTTGTTACTTTTTATTAAATAATTACAATTAACATAAATATGTATAAACATGTGGCAGATTCACACAATTAAGTGACAAAATACAAAGCGATTTTCCATTTTCCTTTCTATATATGGTGTATTTCTATTTTTTTTTTTTTTTGTTACTTTTTATTTATTCATTAAATTTAATTATTCTAATAAAATAGGATAGTAAAAAAGAAGTCACATTCTCAGAAATTAGGCCATCCCAGATGGGATTCGAACCCACAACCTTCGGATTAGAAGTCCAACGTGCTGTCCATTGCACTGGACAAAATGAAAAATTTTCCTTTCTATATATGCTCTTGGACTATTATTTTGGTTTGTTACTATTTATTCATGTTTTAATTTAGTCAATGAATTAATGTTTGAAAAAACTGTATTAACATCAAGTGTCATCCACTACAAGTTTGAGAAAATGTATTTGAACTTGAGTGTATGAATAAAAAGTATTTTATTAACGATCGCGAATATCTGAACAAGATATATATACATAAAAATAAATATATTTAGGAGAGTATATATATGAATTAATAGTAGGAATTGAAAAACATGTAAAAAATTACATTTATACCACTAGAGAAATAAATTCAAGATACTTGAACTACTTTTTTTTTTTTAAAAGTATTGATAAGCATTTTCTGCGATTAATTTCGAGAAACGAAATTAGTATGTTTTAAAAGAATGGCCCTTTATTTAAAAACTATATATATATATAATTGTTATTTTTTTTTTTGAGATTTTAAAACAAAAATCCTTTGCTAACATTTTGAAAAATAGGCAAATGACGCAAATCTACAGCCGGTGAGAAAAACTGTGACGTGGAATCATGTTCTCAAAATAATTATGAAGAATGAATGAACCTGGTTGAAATTTCAAATAGAGGATATTGTATAAATAAATCCCATTCACACATTAAATCAAATGAATATTTCTTTAAAAAATATATTAGATTTTTATTAAGTTATTTCAGCGCTTATAATTTGACTTATTTTTGCAAAAACATTTTAAAAAATGGGTGTCCACATTTTTTATACTAAAATCAACTTTATTTTTACTTTTGATGATCTTTATTTTTAAAACAATTCAGAAAAGTAAAACTGGGTGAAAAATGACGTCAATCTATTTTTACTCAGTCAGTGCAACAAATGAAAATGAGACTTATTACTAATTTTTACAAAATTCCAGACGTTGAGAAATATTAGTGCACAAGAAAACATTTAGAATTTTTACAGAACTTTTACTTTTTCTAATGAGTTAAACTCTTATATTATTTTAACTAATTTTTTACAGTCATATGTCATTAGGAAATTGAAAAGGTACTAAACAATAAAAACCATAGCAAAACTCAATATTACTTTCTTAATTTCCACAGTGGAAGCATATTGTTCACATTTTTCTGCAATAGATGAATCAAGCCTTGGATTTAAGCCATTTAATAAGTTTAAACCTTGCCATTTTTGTTAATTAAAGACACTTTGCTAAAATTTACCTAAAAAAAAATAATAACCAATATATTTTGAAATTAAATACATTAAAAATATAACTGAGTAATAAAGTTTCTTTAAATATGTGAAGATTTAAAGAAATAAAAGCAAAACAAAACCCATTGGGATTTTGTTTAGTTTCAGCTAGTCTAAACGCACTTTTTCTTTTGTAACCACTGAATCTATTGTATCCGTACTTGGTATGTCAATGATAAATACGTTGTCTCGTGGGTAAGAAAGGAAGTTAAAAGAGCAGATTTCAATTTTCGATATGGCAATTACTACGATTGTTCGAAATTTCTTTCTATTATTTTTATTTAGTTTTGTTTGCATTCGGATAATTTTATTGAATTTTTGACTTTGAGATGGGAAATAAAGTAATGTCTAGTGTTAATCTGACAACAAAATATAAATCCTTCAAAATATAAGACGTATCATATCTCTTAGTACCTTCAGAAATTCACGATCAACTCACTTTTTTAATTTTTAGAAACACTGGGGATTACCGAAGATAAATAAGTGCACTAAATGGAATATTACAGAAAAAACACATCATTACAACAACGATAAAAATTAACAAGTATTTTTAGATTCATCATGTCTTAAAAACATTTTGTAGCTTTCAATTTATATTATTTTCAAATTATCTAATAAAAATTTTATAAACAACGAATTAAAATGCTGACAAATTATACAAATCCGATATATGGAACAATAAACGTCCAGGTAAATAAAAATTTATAATGTCCTTTTTTTCAAGTGTATTAAAAAATAACATATAACTAATAAAAATAATGAGAAAAATTACGTGTGTTGACGATATTTGAATTTTAAATTCTTTTTATAAACAACTATCAAGAAGATTGTATCAATACACACTAAACCAAGTTACCAAATGGACAATGGTTTTATACATACAAGTAGAATTAGAATGAATTCGTTTCAGAATAGATCGTTGAGTATGATTGCACATAAAACATTCATTTCAGTAATGACAATACCAAACGTGTAATTTGCAACCTATGAACATTCATAAAATCATCCCAAAAATACATTTGCGTAGCTTATCTGAAGGTTTTTTGAAGCATCCCATCAAGAAAATCAAAAAGAAAAGGAAGGTTATGTACATAGCACTTGTATGCAGTCAAAGAATTTGTAGAAACTACTTCTGAAATCTTGAACACTAAAACAAATCTCTTCTTAAAGAGATAAGCAACATATACCAAAAATAAGACTTATTCTCTGCAAAGTTTATTTCTTTCTTCTATAATGGTTCTGCATTTCATACGATATTATTATATTTACTGACGCCATCGATCTTATGGAACAATATAAACAAAACACTATTACATCCATTAATGAAGTGGAAGTTAATAATAGATATTGGTGTACAAAGATAAGTTAAGTAATAAAATGCAATCTAAAACAGCGGTCGCTAACCTTTTGAACGACTAATGTATAGTTCCGCTACATAGCGAACCGCTATAACTATATTGTCTTTTATTTATGTCTCTATTTACATATCCACATTACTGAAAAGGAATTTCACAAAAACAAGAACAAAACGGCTACGCACAGCAATATCAACAGACTAAAGCAGGGGTGTCAAACTCTCGGCCTACAACGAACATTTTTGCGGCCCGGCCAATATATTCCCATACAATTATACCAAAAACAAACGAAAAAATTTTTTTCTAAATTCTACCAAAATTGAAAAAATAGTAGCAGAAAATATCATTAAGTTTTTCATCCACTTTCCAAACTACCGAAATATATGAATTTTCGTACGAGTGATAGAAATGATTTAAATACATACAATCAACATAAGGTAACCAGTACTAAAGTTTACTTCTGTTAGTACATAATCAGCGTGGATTTTTTTTCTTTGTTTTTTAGAGCCTTTTTTAGACTATATATATGGTTAATCTGTTCATGCTCCTCGACACCATCTCAACACTCCATAACTTAATCTGGGTCTTTTACTGCCCCCTGAAAGCCTCAAACGCCCACAAGGGGGCGTTAATGCCCACGTTGAGAACCTATGGACTAATGGTAAAATAAAGCATATTTTTTGGAGGATTGAAAATCAAACAAAGGTATGAAATTAATTTTAGACTCTTTCTCTCTCCTACAATAAAGTAATAAAATAGAATTTGTGCAAAGAGATTCCGGAATTGTTTCTTCTTACATTTTAACGATAAGTTATAACAGACTGTTTCCTTATTAAAGCAGTAATATCTTTGCTCATTCGGTTTAATTCTTAGCAGGCTCATCAGAAAATACGGCCATTAAATAAATTAATTGACATATAAGGCAATTAACTCAACATCGAGAACATTAAGGATACGATGATGGAAAATTAAAGATAATTGTCCAATAAAACTTTATCTCCTATATTTCATAATATCGAGAGTAACAATAATTAGTTTCACACCACACAAAAACAATTTTAGAAAATTATGAGAACACTAATGCAATCTTACTGAAAAAATAAGACATAAATCGTATTAATAAAAGCCTATATTTGCAGTATAAGCTGTTGATATTTATTATCTAAATACCTTTTTGCACTGTACTGATATGAAATACAGCAATTGATTAACATTTCAGAATTTCAAGCAAGATAATTACTAGGATGTACAGTATCCTAATTATTAAACATAGAACAAGAATACTAACACTAAATTTTCCAGTAATTCAGTTAAATGATATAAAAAAGTAAGGCGAATATCTATTTAATATTTTTTTAATCTAAATTACGTAGAAAAAGCAGTAAAAGTGTTTGATGTTTATAAAATCTATACACATCAAGAGGTAAGGTAAGTTAAATCGAAAACAGAATAAAAAATACTGCAAAAAAGAAATTTTAATTCTTAAAAAATCATAAATTATTCAAAAATGTCAAAATCTCAACATTGAAGCCAATTCCCAGATATTTCTTAGAGATAGTGCTTTTTTGCCAATGCCTGGAAATAAGCGGAATATTAAGAAAAAATCGTATTATAATATAACTGATGAGGATGATTGAGAAAGCCGAAAACATAACATGTTTTCTGAATAAAAGACATATTTCTTGGGTATTTGAACATTAAGCATCCTTACTTGTATTCTGAACTTACGGATGTTCATCCATATAAATTATATCATAAGTTATTCGATGTTCATTCGAACAGTGAATTGATTGATTGATTGTTTATAAAGTCACATTCTGAAACAATATGAAAGCTAATGGCAACGACTTGTTAATCTTGAACCATCAAGTGTGACGAGGATGATATATAAACTGGCACCACACTCCAACCTTCCACACCAAACCATTGTGAGGTATCTGAGCTTCAATAAATTTACCATAAATCAGCCTCTCTACACGGCGAGTCTTTTGGTAGAATCAGGATTTGAACCCATAATTCCATAAAAATAACATCCATTACTAGTTCACAACCATAACCACTCGGGTACCATGGTCATCCCAAACAATCGGACTCGTGGCTCAAATTTAAATAGAAACGATTTCCAATAGACAATTGGATTGTATGAATAATTCAAAATATTTCTTTGTATGATAAATATTATGAAACTTTGAATATATTTTTAGAAACAGAAAAATATTCACTACAGCAAGACAAGACCAGACATCCCTAATAGACTTTTTTCCTACTACATTGATACAAAAAAAAATACTCTTCAATTATTTTATTCCAAAATACCACTTTTGGAAGCAAAATTTATTACTTGCCCTATAACAAATATCTTTTTTTTTCACAGCTCCATTTTTCAAACGTCATC